AAAAAAAAAAGCATCTCCTACTCCTAGCAATGGCAGCAAATGCGATTGTCTGGTCTTCCGCACCTCAGGGCTGGGGAAGTACTTTTACCCCCGGGCTAAGAACCACTGTTCCAGTGAAATGTTTCTGACACAGGTTCAGTAATTTGATATCCACGGGAGGTGAATCTCTTAAGGGTTTGTAGAGGACAGTAGTGGACACGGGGAATTTTTAATAGGGGGAGAGGATGCAGAGATTTGTGACGTTATATTTGAGGTGGGGGGGGGTGCTACCTTTTTGTGATGATTTTTGACGATGAGGGAAAAAAAAAGGGGGGGGGGTGTCAAAAATCGGCAAAATATGTGTGACGTCATTTATGGATGGCCCCCTTATTTTAAAAAGAAGAAATCCATCGTGGAAGTCGAGGGGTGGGGTGGGGAAAGGGGGGGTCATGAGTTTACCGCACCAGTAGCTACGCCACTGCGAGTTACGTCTAGGTAATTTTTAAATGCACTTGATACTGAATGTGTTTTTAAAATATAATTAATTAGCAATTTGTAATCTCGAATCAAGTTGAAGGACTAAAGGCATCGTTCGCTGAACATTTTCTAAATGCCCATTACATTAATTACAATAATTAGCAAATAAAAGATAATTATCAAATTGATCTAATTTTTTAATAAAATATATATTGCGCTGCAGAGAAGTACTGTACAAGAATCTGTTATCCGTATATTTAACATTTTAATTTAAGTGCATACTTTTTAAAAAAACATGAAATTTAAAAAAAAAAAAAAAAAAAAAGTGGGGGCCTAATAATAATAGCCTATATATAATATATATTGCACTACTCTGGGGTCGGCACACTTCCCACGCATTCCAGGCTTTCATTTGCATGTCTTTTCACATAATCAGCAAGCTTCAATGTTTGATTTTTAATAATATTTAGGTTAATTTGTAGAACAAATCTGAGGAATTTCGAACAGTGTGAGTGGCAGCACTGGACTTCATATTATTATTATTATCATTATTATTATAAGTGGTTTTATATAGCGTGGTACCGCAGCCTAGGGGTGGGCTCACCATGCTGTACACACAATTTAACAAACATAATCAAAAACTTAAGAAATTAATTAACATACATCAATTAAATAAAACAAAACACATTTTTATATTAAAACCATTTACATGTCAAGCCATCTAAGTTCAGTTAGATAGGAGGGGGAGGAATTCGAGAAGAAGTTGTGGCAGAGAACAGAGAGTTTTTAGTCAATCCGTGCTCGTACAGGGAGCCAATGAAGTGAATGAAATAGTAGTGGCACCTAAGTTAATACACTTTTTTTTCCCGAATTCTCAACAATACCAGTAAAACGCTAACAATAAGGCGTAAAATAAATTTTATCAGGTAGGGTAGGCCTACTGTCGTATTGCTGACGAATGCCGTTATTGTAATAAGTAATTATTTAAGACAGGCGCGAGTCATAAATTCAAAATTATTAAAACTGCCGAACACCCCACCCCTCCAGCATTTCCCAACATTTCCCCCGCAGATGGGATGAGGAACTAAAATAGCAACATAAATAGACGGGAAAGAAATTTTTTTTGGGGAGAGTCATCGTCACATGAGCATCACATGATATCTAGGACCTACCGGTACACTATTTTATACTCTAATTAACAGAAAAAACATAACGGTTTGAAATTGATTGACAATCTCTTACTTTTCTTTCTCGTCTGGACCGCCCACGTTCCGTTATAAAATTATATAAATAAAAATTCACAGAATATTATCATTCAGTTGGTGAATTAGCAATAAAGAACTTAAGACATGTTAATATATTCATACAGTACAATTGAAGTGAATCTGAATTAAATTAAATGCCAAAATAGGACAATATAAATTTGCCCTCTGTGAAACAATAATGAGGCCGAAGGGCACGTGCCCCACTTGCAACTGTATCTGAATGATGATGACGCAGCAATAGTGAGTTTTATCTGAGACCAACTTGACTTACTTCCAAGTCAATGACAGTATGTTTAAACTGAGATATAATAATTAAAGGACTGCTGTTATGTAGGACGTGCTTACGTCACGTTTCCCCAGTGCTGCCAAACGCCGCGTTCGTATTGGGCGTAGCCTATTTCCTTTCATCTTGCCATGTTTACTCCCGATAACAGCTAAAAATAAGTTAATCTGTTTCTCATAGTATGTTGTGGAAAGTTCGCGAGTGGACTAGAAAAGTAAACAATGTCTAAGATGTTTCTGGAACGCTCCTTACGCGCAATATATATATAAGGGGTTAAGAGATCATTGAGGGTCGGAGATTCAGATAGATATTTTTCACTTCACGAGACAAGTGTATTATTGTGTGTGTACTCATATGTGTTTATTCGCTTTCATCATTGTACATTATTAATTGGCACATTACATTAGCTGTGTACCGGTACAAGACATCCCATACTCTGTAAGTTGATGATTGTAATTATATTATATTTCTTTTGTTTTGTAATTATAATAATGCTTAAATAAATCTTGTTAATTGTAATTAGTACTGGTTTGAGTGTTGTATTTTTGCTTTTGTATTTCTCTATGGTATCGTCCTTTGTTATGCACTGTTTGAACGAGCCATACAATTTTAAAAAAAATGAGATTAATTTCTAACTATAGAAGGCAGCGCGTTACAACTGCATTCAAGCTAAGTAAATGAAATAGCAAAACGTTATAAAAATATGCTGAAAAGTTCTAATCTTTTTGTCCTGTCCTTAAGTTCAAGCTTCCACATACCTCGTCTTGCTATTTCATTTAAACTGAGAGTAGTTTATTCATAATTTGCTATAATTATCTCAAAAATAAAATGAATTATGAAATAAAAATTCTTAAGAAAGAGAGTTGATAGCATGGTTCAATTAAGTAATTAAAAGGGTTATCTAATTGCATTTCTAAACGCAGGCAGGTAACACTTTCTTCTTAAGATTTGTGTCAAATCTGTCATACATATTGACACTTCGGTAGCAAAATTTGTTACTCGGCAATAAGACTAACCGTTTAACAACAAATTCTTAACTGGTCAGGAAAGTATTCGCAACATGGAACTTTCATATTTGAATGTCGTTACTCTGGTATTTATCGGGACCTCAATTTTGCCTTTATTGAATGTTGATGGCTTTGGGTTCAAATTTAACTCATACAAAAAGTTTATTGTAACACAAGAAATAAAGGATGATTCCGTGTCAGACTCGCTCTCAATCTCAAGCAACCAGAACGACTACTTTGATCGTAAGACTTCCCCATCAAAACTCAAAGATCCTTTTTCTTTGGGCCTGCGTTCCTCATTTATAAGGGCATTTTCAAGTCAAAGGCTTGGAAGCTTTGTAAGTTCTTGTATACATATTCTTTGATTAACAATCTTAACTTTTTTTCAGGTAAAACTTGAGTTAAAGTTAAAGGTATTGGTTTTTGCCAAGAGTTTTCTCAGCATAAGTCATAAGTATAAGCCTCACCATAAGCCCTGTGACGTCACATTGGGGAATCCCAACACTGGACTTAGGTGAATAGACCTATTCTTTGAAGGATCCTAAGGATGTGTTATAATATTCCTGTTCTTTATTGAGCATTATTCGCATCATAAACAATACGGTTAATATGATATGAAGTATATTGAAATGAAATTTTCCATTAATTTGTATTAAAATTCAACTTAAACATTTCAAAAGATAGGAAAAAAGAAACACATCCTTGCTGATACCCCAAGACCTAACACCGGTGGAAAAAAAATACGCCCGCGAAAATTGCTGTATTTTGATTAGTTGAAATCAAAACCAAAATAGGACCCAAACCCCTCCCCTCGCTTTAAATACCAAAACAAGAAACATAGAAATTCTCTGGGGAGGGGAGACCCCTCCCCAATACCCCTCCCCAAATAAAAAAAAAAGAAAAGAAGAAAATAAAAACTTGCGTTTTTAGTATGGCACTGTAGACGGAAATAGACCTGAGGGAACCTCCGTGACCTACATACCATGGAACACATCGCCATTATTTTATACTATTTCTATTGATAGTGAAGTTGATTTAAATTTAGATCCATCACATGATTCCGATAGTTGTAGTTTTAGACGATAGTTGTAGTTTTAGACGATTTGAGTCATAGCAGTGAAGATGATGTTTGCCTACATCAAAGGGTTTGGGGGGAAAATGGTTTTGCATATCACATTTTCACATTTTAAGTTTCACATTTTAAGTTTCTCTTCTCTTACTTATTTTAGTTAAACTTAAGAAATAATTAAATAAGTTTACAAACATATAGACCATTCAACTATCTTTCATTTTATACCAAACTTTGCCTTATAAATCAATCAATACTATTTAAAATATTTTTTAATAAACCCTGCGTCTCACTCTTTTTTGTTAATTGAAAAAAATGTAAATTTTTTCGTTAAAAAAATTCCGGGGTCACAGCATTAGGAAAATTGAGAACCACCGCTCTAGGGCTTTTCTTATTCAAATACTGTCTATACTAATACTATCTCTACCTAAACAACATGACCATAGTGACAGGGGCTAACTCTGAATGACATCATACATCTAAAAGGAAAAGGGGAATTTGTGACAAAGTATTATTTGGGTGTCTAGTGTGAAAATTTGTGAATCATAACATGATGTCACTCATGAATAGCTTTAACTTGTGTACTAGGTTAAAAGCTTCAGCCATCTTTTGTCATTCATGGCAACATTTATGGCCTATTTGGAGAACTCTTCTTTATATGATTAGGTATTACCCATAAAGTAAACACCAACAGAGGGATGTACTAGTAGTACTATTACTAGTGATATATAATACTAGTTCTAAACTAGTGATTGGTCTTATGTTAATAATTTATCACCATAACAATATCAATTAATGTATATATAGCATTGGCTATAGACAATTAATTTTGTTTACTCTTAAAGTCAGAAATCAAATCCCAGAAGAGCTTCGTCACTGATGATTTTGCATGGAAATCTTGTGGACCCGAAAATCAGCTTGTAGAGATCCGAAATCTCACCTTTGAACCTTCACCACTTGTGTTTCCTGGAGTAATGACCTTTGGGTTTGATGTTATCTTTCATGATACCATAAACAGCGACGCATCTGTATCTGTAAGCAGTTATGTTCTTTTATTTTTGTCCAAATTTTCCCTAATGGCAGGTTGCGACCTGGTACTGAGCCACAAAAGCAAAACTACCGGGGTGGGAATTTTTTTTTTCACCTGTGCCCACTCCACACCTATAGTAAGTGTTGAGAGACAGAAGCATATATTTTTAGTTTGTGTTAACACTGGGAGGCCCCCCCCCCCTCTTTCACTCAGAAGCCCTTGGTTAACTGAATTTCTGAGTCACCATGACCCACTGATCAAAGTGACTACTGGCACCTCTTAATCTACCAAAAAAAAAGCAAAAAAAAAGCACTGCAGGTATTTAAGGGAGAAATTAATGTTAATAACTTGTATCTGAGAATAAAGTTATCCTGTTTTTCTAAAAAACTGGAGTTTTTAATTTTAAAATGTGTAACATTGCTAATTAATAAATTAATTTCAAGGATTCTGTTTGATTTCTTTACATTTTTGTATGAGTAAAAGCTTTACAAAAAAATTTAAATGTATACAAACAATATCCACATTTAAATTTGTTGTATGTTCCTATATTCATATGCCTAAAAAAAAAACAATACACAAAGTAACTGGGCCACAAAAAAATAAATTTTGGAAATGCTGCTTTACACACATGTAGTGGGGTAGAGTTTGTCTGCTCCTTTAAATGAATTATAGTCATTATGCCATGTTTTCTAAGCTCTTCTTTCATCCATTTTTACTTGATAATAATAATGATGATAAAAGTGGTAACAAATTAAGTTTTAAAATCCATTTTCAATTTATGTTAAAAACCCATGTAAAAATTTGATTTCTTTATATTTACAACTGTTTTTATGTTTTTTCAAAGAAGTTTATTTTTTGCTTTCCTGTATCTCTGGTTAATTATTAATTATAACCTTCTCTAGGCCAAGCTTGCTTTACAGTACAGAAGAGGAAGTGGAACCTGGATTCCCATTCCCTGTATTGGTCAGATAGGGTCATGCAACTACACTGATATTTGTGCTTTGACAAAAGGCATTTCATGTCCTCCTGATCTGAAACAAAAAGGGATACCATGCACATGCCCATTTAATAAGGTTAGCAATAGATTAGAATTTATATGTTAAATTGTAATTAGTCTTGAAAAGGAAAATATTAAAAACGGTAACTGCATTTATAGGGTTAGGACATAGACTAATTAAATATTTTAAATGAAAGCTGTGTATTTGAAAAGTTTAACAATGATCACTTGCACAATAATAAGTTAAGGTAATTCTTAATAATGCACTAAACTTAATTCAGTACAAGCATTCGCTGTAGAAGGTACATTTGTTTAAAGTTAATTATTGTAAAATATTCAACCATTTTTATTATTTTTGACTGATTGATGGATATTAACCAGATGGGCAGATGGAAGGGAATTGATGATTTTTAAATCTTCACTCTTTGATTTTTTTTTTAGTTGTATCAACCACTTAAAACAATGTAGAAAATAAATAAAAGAGCACTTATATAAAATCAAAACTGTTAAGGTGCTATGCACTCTGTTTATAACTTTTTTTTTTTTTTTTTTTTACATTCAAACAGTAATTTTGAAAATTCCAAATGAGGGTTGGATGATTCCATAATCAATATACTAAATATTCAAAAATTATAAATAAAATTAAAAACAACCACTTAAAACAATGTAGAAAATAAATAAAAGAGCACTTATATAAAATCAAAACTGTTAAGGTGCTATGCACTCTGTTTATAACTTTTTTTTTTTTTTTTTTTACAGTCAAACAGTAATTTTGAAAATTCCAAATGAGGGTTGGATGATTCCATAATCAATATACTAAATATGCTAACATTATAAATAAAATTAAAATAATTTTAATGAAACATAACGTCTTTGACCGGGCAACAGCACATCATGGAGCATCATGAGCAACATTGTTATCCTTTTCACCTAGTTGTGTCAAAGGTTTTAAGTAAATTTAATCAATTATTCTTCCATCTTTTCCTTTCATCTCAGGGGGAATACACGCTTGAACATTACGATGTTGAGATTGATGCTGCCGTTTTCCTAGCTGGGAATTATCAGGGACAAATAAATTTGAATGACAAAGATAAAGGCCAGATAGCTTGCTACATAGTGAACTTTACTATTGGATAATCAGGTGTGTTTATACTTCTTTTGTAATAATTCAATAATAAGTAATAAAAAGTCTGAATAAATGCACACAACAGTTACGATTATAAGGAATTACTAAATTTAAAAAATGAAGGTAAATAATAAAAAATAAAAAAATTAAGCTTTTATAACACAGCTTAATTTCCCTTTCAGGTTCTATTCTGGTTTTGTTTTCAAAAGAATGAAAAAGAGAGAGAACATTTATGAAGTTAAAAACTTAATCTTATTTTTGTATATGAAGAATTTTCTGAAAATTTTTAATTAAGTACCAAACACTGTAAATTTTGTATATCACTTTTATGGATTATACGAAAGAGTATCTCTCCAACTATTTGTTATATTGTTAAGTTGGATTTTTAAAAACATAAGCAGGTATTGTATTCCGAAATACCAAATTAAAATTTGGTTTATTTGCCACTCAATAATACATTTTTGAGTTGTTTACTATTTTTTAACATAAAAAATACCCTCTATTTGAATTGCATCCAAATGCTTGAAGGAAATTTTTATAATCCATTAATCATTTTGATCGTCTATGTCAGTATTTCCCAACCTTTGATATAATCCACATTCTCTACAAATTATTTGGCTAGTCTTCCATCTGCTACAAATGTTTTTGCAAAGTCTCCTACCCCTAAAAAAGTAAAAATGTATTTTAAAATTGGAAAATAATTGACTTTTAAAACATTTATTGAATTGGAAATAGAACTAAAAAACTTAGAAAATAAACTTGTGACTTATTTCATATAGGAAAATTTTAACTAACAAATTTAACTATATATAAGCTATATCATGACTTATGAGCTAATGTCTCCTCCGTTCTTATAATCCCTTTTCCTTGCACCCCCTGATATGCTATTTGCAACCCGGGTGGGGGGATGATTCACCCAAGTTGGGAAACCCTGGACTCAAGATAGTCAACAAAATATTGTTTTTAATAAAAAATAAAAGGGAATTGCCGCCCTTACATATTATCTACATGATGCTTAACAATTTATCATCATTTCTGACTTATAAAAAAAACCCTTCACATCTAAAGAAAGAAGTATTTGAAAATGAGAATGTTTCCTGAATGTCAGCATAAAAATAGGAAAGTTATCTTGGGCTACAACTTTTCAAAGTGTTGGTTTAAGGATTTGTAAAACCATGTTGTGCGTACCTTTTGATTATAGTTTTAACAAATGGTGCAGAGTTGGATTTTTATGTTCTTTACAAACTAAAAAAAGCTAAAAATTTTAGTCCTTCTTTATAGTTTGTAAACATTGACTGGCATAGTGAAACTCTCTTATTTTTTATTTGTTTAATGAATGATATACTCTTTCTTGATATTAATGTTTTTTATTTGATTAGAACCATTACAAATTATTACAGAAGTATTTTTAAAAAAATATAAATAGATAAGCAATTATTTAGTTACTTTTATTTGTGTATTTTATTATTTATTTTTGATTTGTCACTAATTTTTCATGCATCCTTTTTTTCACAAAATGTTTCATTGATCTGAGAGCTGATATTTTTTGTATGATTGAGCTGAAATTTTGGTATTGGCTAATTTATTGTTAGCTTTTTAACTTTATTTTAGGTGATTTTTAATTTATCCACTATAACCGAAGCCTTTACTTTCATTACACTTGTGTATTAAGCTGTCTAAGGTTTGAATTAACTTTAGATTCAAAGTGACAGAGCTTCTATTTCTTTTTATAGTGACCCACACATCAAAGTGCATTGTTAAAAATTACACAAATTTACTGTGAAAAGTAAAGTATTTCTTTTGCCATGCTATAAATTTAACCAAGCTTACAGGTCACATTTTTTTGCAACAAAGCTTTGCACTATGAAATAAGCATCAAAGTGAAATGAGGACACAAGTTGCCTTTTGTAAATTTTGATACACGCCCACATTCCATAAGGAAAGAAAAGATTAAATCCTTAAAAGTTGCAGCTTTGTGACATTGGTTATAGATTTTTTGTATCTAGTTAGTGTTTTAAAAAATTTATTTTCTTAAGTCAAGAATTTTTTAAACAAAAATATATATATTTACATTTGTTTTATAGACCGCTAATAACTTCATCATTAGCTGACTTAATTTGACAGATGCTTGGCTTGATACAATTCGGATTCATTCATTGTAAGAAGGTGGTCTCTTAATGATACAGTTATTATTTGAATGGAAGATATTGCATCTGTCTTGCTAGCCACAAAAAGATTTGTAGATGAAAAATATTTAAAAATGCAGAAATGATTCCTGCAATTAATTGAAGGTTTGTTCCATAACAGATCTCTAATTGGAAAACTTGTTTTAAGGAAGGAATTGTATATTTACAATTTTGTAGAATGATTTGAAGCATCAATTCTTATCCTTGTATTGCACTCTTGTATTTCACTTTTTAACCTATTAAAGCCTAGAAAGGTGAACTTTTACTAGAAAAAATTACTCGATGTTCTGTTGTTTTTTTTTTTTTTTTAATTCAAAATTAAAAGGCACAAAAAGTTTGTTTTTAAAAAATTTTTTAAGCATCAATTCTTATCCTTGTATTGCACTCTTGTATTTCACTTTTTAACCTATTAAAGCCTAGAAAGGTGAACTTTTACTAGAAAAAATTACTCGATGTTCTGTTGTTTTTTTTTTTTGTAATTCAAAATTAACAGGCACAAAAAGTTTGTTTTTAAAAAACTTTTTTCTGCATAAAAATATTTAATGACATTATTGAGAGGATCACTGAGCTTTTGTATAGAAGTTTTAAAGTAGTGAGCTGTGACAAGGACTCGCACCAAACTCTCCTGGGTTTTGTGGGTTTACAAAAATGGGCAGTAGGGTGGCTGGTATTTTTTTGTGAAAGTAATATAACCGCTTTATAGAAGAAAGAAAAACCAAATCATATTTTGATAGCGTTGTTTTAATTTCCTTCTGCTAGCAACATGACATCTACAGTGAACATTCATATTTAAATGTTAACAAATGTTTAATTAGAAATAAATCTGTCCAAAAACACCTGAGCTTTTCTTGTAAAAAAAAAAACAAATTTAAACTCATTAAAATAGGAATAAGTTCTCCTTGAGGACAAGTAAGTATACTTGCTTTTAATTTATATTAAATTTACAGAAACGACATAAAACTTACTTACTGTTATATCTGCTTAAGTATGCAAAGTCTATAAAAAATATGTGGCTAGAATAATGAATTGTATCTATTGAGTTCTGTGTTAAACTTTAATGGGTATAGGGGGAGATCACCACCTTTGCTTTCTCTCAAAGGAATACTTTATTCCATTAGCATGTAAATGTTACAAAAGTAAAATGTTAAAGCCTGTAGCTAGTGTTAATAAATGGTCCAAACAACTATTTGATTATTTCAATCTCAGCAAAATAAGGCATTAGAGTCTTAATAAGTTTTAATAGTAGTCAGAATGATCAATACATTGATCGTGGGCCCTCAAAATATAGAAAAAGGTGTATAGTAGTATATATCAGTGCACAAAAGGAATAATTTTTAAAAAACTGTAAAAAATATGTAAAATAAATATATGCAAATGAGACATAAAAAAAGTGTATAGAGTCAACAGTTTGCCCAATAGGGCTCACATTGTAAATATATACGTAAAGACAAGAACAAGAATGGGTGTAAAATAGCTATTTATAAATAGCAAACATAAAACCGAAGAGTGGGGGGGGGGTGTGGAATCTTAAAGTGAATTATTAATATTTTTAATTTACATCAAATGTAAATTTTTATCCGCATCTAGCAAAAATTTACATAATTTGTTTTTGCACTGAATATATGCAAGTAAGGTAATTGCAGATTGAGCATGACTTTGTAAAATGTTTTTCCGAGAATTTCCAAAGCACTTTTAAATCCATGGCTACTTTGGTAATTTTAAAACTGAAAAGGGTTTAACAAGGCTGAAGCAGATATTTTAACAAAAATGATAGGAAAAAACAATGATTTATACTGGTACTGACAGATTCTGCAACATAAAAATGTTGCATTTGTTTTGGAACTTTGTACATGAACAAATTTACACATAGGCCCTACATGAACTGGATGTGTACAAAAATAAATATATTTAACAAATTAAAAATATATTGAAATATCACATTTGCAAACATTAAAAAAAAAATGTTAATAAGATTTTGACAGTCTAGGGTAGTTTAAAGAAAATTAATTACATGTAGAATAGTGCAACTTACTTTTAATTTTTTAAAAATTAATTAATTTAAACAAATCCAATAAACTTTTTTTTGCCGTACACAACTTATGAAGAGGTCACTTAAGAGACTTTTAGTCACAAATTCCTGAATCCAAGCTTTGGTCACAAATATTATTTGTTATTCACAGAGCAGTGAATATTTAATGAAATAGTTTGCATTTGTTTATTTTTATTTAGCGAAAGCAATTTTATTTCTTTCATTTTTAAAATATGTACCAATTCTATTCTTTCAACACATTTTAAAATTTTACACAAGAACTAAACAAATATTTTCACTACTGTAAAACATCAAATGCCTTATATAATATCAAAAATATTATCTTGCCAAAACAATCATGGGATGCCCTTCATCAAAATGACTCTGTGATTAAATTTGATGTTAAAATTGATTAGTACCCTCTTTCAAATTGAGGAATTATTTTACAAATTTTTTGGTGGTATTTTTGAAGGATGTAAGGCTCATGGCAAATAATCATTTATCACAGAATATTATCAAGAATGAAAAGTTAGCTGCCTTTAGATTACAATGATACATTTAGTGGAATAGCTTTTTTTGGCAATGGTGTCTATAAGTTATAAGATAATAAAAAAATTGAGCATTCTATTAATGGGAATTATAGAAATGATAGAAAATTAAGATAAGCAGACTGTTTTGCTGCACAGTTAATTAGCATTCCTCTTCTATCACAGTTGACATTGAAGGTTCACTTGTAATGCTGAAAATAAAAATTAAGAGACTTTGCAGAACTTATGTACATAGCATTTTAATATCATCTGCAAGAAACGAGCAAAACAAGTCAATCAGAGAGGGAGACTTTTAAACATCTAGATGTTATGTCTAAACGGTTAAAGTACTAAAAGAGATATTTTTTTCAAAAAGTAATCATCTTCAAACAATCCATGAAAATAATGTTGGTTATTTTACAAAATAATTAGATCAAATCTCCTGGTTTGAATAAAGATTATGATATTCTTTCAAGAATTTGATTCTTTTTAAAAGTTTTCTTTCAAAAGATATGGCTTGAATTGCATCAAATAAATATTTGAAACAGCAGGAAATATTAAAGCCATATAATTTGAGTTTGTTTTATGACTTAAGTCTTATGTTCTATGACTTGAGTCTTACAATCTAATGTCCTATGACTTAAATCTTATGGTCTAATGTTTTAAAAGCAGTTAAATTTCATTTTCAAGTATAATTAATTTTCTTTCTGTTGTTTATGTATCTTTAAGTGGCATAGATTTTTTAAAAATCTCCTCATCAGCCAATAGCATGTTTATTTACAATGCTATCAACTGCTTTGTTTCAAAAATAACTTGATAAATAAAACTCTGTTAGGCAGTTAAATACATGATATTGGCCAAATTTTAAGTGTTACTTAATCTTGGCTTATACCACAACAAAAAGTAAACACACAAAATGGAAAAAAAACACAAAGAAAATGCAAAGAAATAAAAATAAAAACAGGCACATAAAAGTGTAATCACAGCAGCTGTAACATATGCAAGTGAAACTTGGACCCTAACAAAAATGGCAGAAAACATTAAACACATGAGAGAAAAGTTCTCCCTAAAAATTGACAGACCAACTAAGGCTGAATTCGGATGGAGAATACGAACCAACCAGGAACTGTATAGACTATATCAGCATCCTACACTAGTAGCAGTAGCAGAAATCAAAAAGGTCAGGCAATGCTGGGCGGGGCATTAGAAAGAATGACAGAGGGCTGGGCATTAGAAAGAATGACAGAGGAGTGAAGAGGGTGCACCATCAAAACCCAGAGGGAAAACGGCTCAATTGTAGACCGAGGCTTAGATGGGTGGATGATGTTGAAAATGATCTACAGCAGTTGGGAATCCAAGCATGGAAAAGAAAAGAAAAGAGTGGGCTGTAGTGCTACAGGGATGGAAAGCAAAATTTGATGTTTGATTTACGAAACAAATATATTAAATAAATTTTTATCAGGATTTGGCAACCTTAAACCTATGGCTGGATATTGTCACTAACCTATGGCTGGATATGGTCACAAACTTATGGCTGGATATTGTCATGAACCTATGGCTGCATATTGTCATGAACTTATGGATGGATACTGTCACGAACCTATAGCTGGATATTGTCACAAACCTAAGGCTGGATATTGTCATGAACCTATAGCTGGATATTGTCATGAACCTATAGCTGGATATTGTCACGAGCCTATGGCTGGATATTGTCATGAACCTATGGCTGGATATTGTCACAAACCTATGACTGGATATTGTCACAAACCTATGGCTGGATATAGTCACAAACCTATGACTGGATATTGTCACAAACCTATGGCTGGATATAGTCACAAACCTATGGCTGGATATTGTCACAAACCTATGGCTGGATAATGTCACAAACCTCATTTATCTTGATGACACTATTCCTTTAAGTGAGCTAAAGTGCATATATATATATATATATATATATATATATATATATATATATATATATATATATATATATATATATATATATGTGTGTGTGTGTGTGTTTGTTGGTTAAAAGTGTACCTATGGTTTGATTCTGGATATTGTGTGGAGGGGGATGAAAAAGAGTTATTTTATGGAAATTTGAATGCAGCAAAGAAAAAGTCAGTAAAATACGTTTTTAACAAATGAATTCTTTCTGCCCCCCCTTGCCCTTACTCCACCCTCCCCCAACTAACTCCCAGACCCACTACAACTCCCCAAACACCTGCATCCTTAAACACTAAGGATAATTTTAGCGCTTTTTAAGTCTTCCACAGAAAAAACGTGTGAACACACAGTCATGCCTTGCAACTCACAACCTGTAAATGTGTACTGAAGCTGTAATATTTGTAGCCACTTTTGAATGAGGAACACATTTTTCTGACATTTGTCTCGAGAAATGAAACCACTCCCAGAATTAAGACATTACAGTGTGCATTCAAAGCCATTCACTCATCAGTTCATTTAATATTGGATATTAGCATTTACAAAAAAACACATTGTTATATCAATAAACTGAGTTTAAAAGAGAAACACTTATGTAGATAAACAAATGGAAACTTTCGATGACACATTTCTTTACTGATAGCATAAGAATAAGAGAGCAAAAGGCCCAATAAGCTTCAAGCATGAAATACCCAATTTTAAATACCTACAAGGAATATTGAATATTGAAAGTTGACAACCCTTTACTTTTACTGTGATTGCTGAGGAATTGAATAAAATAATTGTTTAAAAAAGATAAATATGTAGAGAAAAACAAAAATGTAATCTGCTATTTTTAGGACATCACTCAAACTCAAAGTGAACACATACTGGTATTGTGATTGTTATTTTTTGAAGACTTCATGTTTGATTATTATCCACAAGGATGAAATTTTCTAAAATCTGCATTTAATGCTTTCAAAATATAAAGAATTCACTTTATTTTTAAAAAAAAATATAGCCTAACACAAAACAAAATTTATCAAATTTAATGTTTAAAATGTGAACTTATTTTTAAGTTTATTCAAATTTGAATTATTATAATTTTAAAAAAAAATATTTAAACATTTAAAACGTGCATAAATTGATCCTCGGATTATATTAAGAGATTTCAATCTAAGATTAGTCTGTTGATATTAAGCTTAGACTTAACTAGGAAAGAAAGTGATATTTTTTTTAAAAAGCATAATTAAATGCATTTAAAATTCAATTGGAATAATAAAAAAAAGTTTTTTAGTAAAACAAAAACTAAAACTTCTACAACATTATACTTTAAATAAAAAATTTCAAATGTCATTCTCCTTGCATTTATATTAAGGATCCTGTCATGGCCTCATTGATGTAGCTTATTCATATAATTTAGTGATAAATACAATCAATGATTCTATACAAGTAACAGAAATTTTATAAAAAAAAGCAAGACAGAAAAAAATCATAAGAAACTCAAACTTCACACAAGAAAAAACCAACAACAAATGAAGTTGCTGAACTGGTGCTGGTATGGCTTCTACGACAAACCTTTGGAGTTCATGATCACTGTGGTCAGCTACTGAACTCATACTGTGGGAACTAAAGAAATCTGGTTGTTTCCTGTTATTCATTTGACTGTCTGTTTCTGCTGGTTCTTGCTCCCATAGAAAGTTTACCCTGCAAAGCTTTTGTATCCTTTTAATGGAAGCAAACCTGTCCGAAATTTGCAATCAATTGATATAATTTCACGAGGAGGGAAGAAACAATATTTTGGTATTAAACCACCATTGTTGAAAGCTGGATGCTAACTAAAATGTCATGAAAAAAATTCATTCAACAAAAACAGAAAGATATAACACAAAAGGAATAAAAATCACTCAACTGGAAACTGAAAACTGAAAAGAATCTTATCAATTAATAAATGTTTGCATCCGTTTAAAGAAATTTTAACAAATTACAGTGCAATTCACTTATAATCCATTTGGTTTTTAGCATTGAACCAGCAATAAAAAAAAATAATGTAAGATTTTTTAAAACCATCTCTGCATTATTTTGAACCTGAAAAAAATCAAATCTGTAAGCAGGTTAAGCATATCATAAATGATGAACAATTAATTATTATATCCCAGTAGTGCTTATAGGAAGTTACATGTTAACATGGTTTTATGAAAGTATCTGTGCAAATATATATATATTTTTTATTCATTGTCCATTTAAATATTGCACACATTTGTCTATAAATGAACTCCACTGCATAAAATAAAATTAAAAAAAAAAAAAGAATAAAATGAGATTAAACTAAATTCTGTAATAGGATGTAGTTGAATAAAGTCAATGGATGGAATTACTTTTATTTACTTGCATGCTATTTTAAAAGATGTCATTTTGCTTTTTGCTACGCTTTTTAAATAAATGGGAAATCAGCTCAAAAATGTCGATTTTATTTAAAAAAGATTTACTTGATTTTATTCTAGTGAAACAACCTTGTTTTTTTTAAAAACTCCTTAAATTTACATAATATTTAGATGTTACAGACAGTGATATTCATGTGTCTAATATTTTTATATAAATCCAAACACCTTTCAACATTAATTAATTTTTCTTCTCATTACACACAATATTTTGTGGTTTCAAGTCCATTAATATTCAATCACTTTTGGTGAACTGCTCCATGACATTTAGAAGAAAACTTTTTTTCTTGAACCTGCAATAGCAGGAAAAACAAAGTGGTAGCAAATATTAATGACAGGCAGTATATTTTCCTGCATGTTGACCTGTACATCTAGATTCTACTGATCCCACTATTTTAAGTTTTAAAAAAAGAAAATTCAAAGCTTAGCATCATAAAGATTTTATATGCAGCTTCACATCAGAAATATTGAGAATGGCCATAAAGTAAAAATACATCTTCTCAACTGGCTGATAGAAAGAAGCTTGGCTGCCAGATTAAAATTTTCAGGGGAAAAAAATAATCAGAAGATCATAAGAAACCAAGCTGATTATTCTCACAAACAAAAAATTATATAGTGAAAAATATCCACTAACTAAAAAATTGTCAAAAAAACGTATAACCTTTTTGAGATACTGGTCGTAACAATGGAAGTAAATGGGGATTTGTTGATGGTTGGGGGGGGGGGGGGTGCACAAATGAATAGTCTTGCAGATTTAAGGCTAGCAGTTGACATGCATTCTAGAAGAATGAAATAATGATTTGTTGAAATCACTATTTGACTATAGGTTTATCATAAAATGGAGTCTATAAGATGAGACTTGTAATTAAAATGAAGTGAGAGCAGGAGCCATCGGAGCATGAGCCATCAGAGCAGGGGGCCAGAGATGTAGACTTGGAGTCTTATCTTTTTTTTTGTAGGTGTAAAAAGAAAAACTCCATAAAAATGAGATGTCAACAATGTGAATGAACAACAATCTCTGGGATACACCATATGCCACAATGATGTAGTAGTCCTGGTACACCTTAAATGTATATCATTTTAAAATAATATAAATTGGTAAATATGCATAAACGGTCTCTCAGAGCTGTTAAGTGTTATGGAACTATGATCTTAGCTATAAATACAATTTGCATAATAGTGCATATATTGGGGTTGATAAATATCTCAGAAGTGTATGAGTTATAACTTTTCTGAAATAAAATCAACTTTTTAAGGGGAATCCCAGCACACTTACAGTATTGGATCAACTGAGTCAGTGCTGGTCCGCTTCTGATGAGCAATGTCTTCTTCATCCTTCGATGATTCCAACCTGAGAATAACAATTATTTGGATGATGGTTTTTCACTGAAGATTCTGTTAGATATTTATGTATGACATTTGATAATTATCTAAAAAAAATTAGAAGTTTATTGATTGTCAGATTTGAAACTGAGTCTTGCATGTACCAGTACTATAAAAGCAAGAAAAAAAAACGTACCTTGGAAAAAGTTGACTGTAGTTCATTGTTTGCCTAGCTTTTTCTTTTTCATTGTCAATTTTTCTTTGGACAAGGTAACTTTGCTGCAAAATATAAAAAAATATATATTCATTTCATTCTGGTTTAAATAATCATTTTATCATCATAGTTTTCCATTTGTAATTCCTATCATGAGAATTTAACTTTTCTCTAGTAACATTTTAACAGTTTTTGTTGTTGTAACAAAGCCACATTATTACAAGAAAAAAGGCAACAAAAAACAACAACGTTTTTTGGGTGGAAGCTTTTTGCTATTTTGAGTTTTGTTTTTAAATTACGTAAAAATTATTAGCTGTGAAACAACACTAACAAAAAATTGTCCAGAATGGTGATCAATCCCACAACATTACCAATAAGACATTCTAACCAAATAAATCAATCAACTCTTACAATCATCAGTAAAATCAAAAAACATGTAGGCCTATCAAAAGTTATGTTTTTAGTTTGATATGAATCTTTGCAGATACACTTATGGTGTCTGCTATGTCTTGTGCTTATAAACATTTTTATTATTGCCCGATTAGAAATGTTAACAATACATATTTTGAAATCCGTTCTGCCAGACAAAAAAATTACTTTCTATAGAGTGGCAGTTCTATAGAATGGCAGATCCATTAAAGGTCTGTTAAAAAGACACTTTTCTGCCCCTACAGAATTAAAGCAGTGAGTGAACAAAAAGAATGCCCAAATTAAAACTTTAAACTGGACATGTAGAATGCTATGCTTAAAGTAAATACAAGCTTAAACCTCAAATAGATGTTTCTGATTGGGTTTGTAAGCCATTTCCCAATGTGAGGTAAAAATATGTAGCTGGATAGCAAGTGGATGAAATAATTCAATTATCATGCTAAAGTAAAAGATACAAAGCATAAATTGAAATGGAAGAGTATAATTATCCTCAAAACTATTGTGCATATAGCTTCCATTTAAAAATGATATTTAAATATGATGTCAATGATATAAATGAATAAAATAATTACCCTCCTCAAGGACAACTGTACATCTTGCGGTACATCAGGTATCAAGTAAGCCAAAAGGAATTTTATGGTAAAAACTATGTGCTAAAATGTAAAATAAATAGGCAACAGTTAATGTCCTTTAAAAAAAATAATATTTTAATTGTAGCTTTCTTGCAATAAGAATAGAAAATAGTATCAACTTTGTTATCATTTTAATTCAAACAATTTTGAAGTAAAACTTTAAGAAATCCTGTCCTCCTAACAGTAGGCATAGAATCCATCTACAAGACTCCACTTCTACAACATGTAATGGACTAGCACCAATTATATGGCAAGCTTTATCATCCATTTAATGTTGTTTTTTTTGTGGCGGGGATCCTCTGAATGGTAAACAACTTATTTTCCAATTAATACTCTTCACGGGTATTCTGGATTTACCACTTCCAGCAAAACAACAATCTTCTCTCTTGAGATGGATGATTGGCAAAATCAAAATACAGTTACACTATTTTCTTACATTCAGATACAGCAGTATGGAAAAGTCCAATACAATACAGTATACATGGCAGGTTTAATATTTAAACTACAGCAGATAGGAGTGACTGCTAACTTGTACATTTGGATTAACATCTCCTCAGTTCTTATCAAACTTAAAAATCTGTTGAATAATTAAGGACAGCATCAAAAGATTACACTTGATCTATGACTCCCATTTAACTTGTCTGCAAGGTGGAAACTTTATCTTCAACAGCAGTTTTGATGAAATAGATGATGACAAAAAATAGCAGGGGCCATAAAAAGAATTAGCACATCCCTTATAGAGTATGAAAAGGTACAAGTAGGCCTAGACTAGGGAAGTAAGAGATCAAAGTTACCCTGTAAGTATTCACCTTAATATTGTAATTGATCACTTACGCCTAAGCTAAAACTACATTTTGAATATATATATAAATAAAAAGACACAATTTTCAGCAATTTATCTAACTGCTTTAAATTGACTTAAAATGTAATAAAAACATAAAAGTTATGCTAATATTAAAGCAGTAAACTTTGGTAGGGAACCATCCATAACTGATGTCACAATATTTCAGACAATCTTTTTCTCTCCCCCCCCCCCCCTTCCTTTCCTTCCACCCCCCCCTTCCTTCCCTTCCCACAAAAAAGTTAGATTCCCTTGTCACACGGTGCCAAAAATATGTGGACCCCACCACCCCCCCCCCCACTCCTAGATGTGTGATGTCATTAATGGATGGCCCTTTTAAGTTAAAATAAAACCTACCTCAAAACCAATGACAACCCACAACTTGCCGGGCAGGTCAAACTGAGAAGCCCAGCTTGAAGTGAAAGCAATAATGAATGAGTTGGTAACTACTCCAACACAATTCACAAATTGCAGAATGTTAAGCCACATGCCTGAGAAGAAACCACATGAATGATTTAAGTTTTCAAGAAAATTAGTCAGCATAAATAATGTAGAGCTCCTTAAACTTAAAATAAAACGTATGCTATAAATGGATCATTCCTGTTAAAATCCTAGCATGCTTGAAATTTTTAATTACCCATACCAATATCTGCTGCAATGTAGGCAATGGGACGTCTGTACCACCAGAGTAATCGTTTTGCATCTATTCGTAGGTCAATGTAGCACACAACAAGGGCAAACAGAGGAGCCAGGGGGAAGGAACATGCAAACAGCTGAAATATTATTATTTTGTCATTCTATCTGGCTTTGTCATTTTAAATATTCTTATCAAACAGCAACATTTCTGAATTTGCTAAACTATTTCATTCATAGTAATAATAATAACTTTAATGATTGTGCAAAGTCTAAAATAAATTAAAAAATTACCCAAATATTGAATTTAAAAAAAAAAAAAGGATCAAGTAAACACTGCAATGATTTTTGTCATTAGCATCTCACAAAAATTATTTATATATTTTTTAAGAAATGCTAATAAAATCAGCTTTTTAAATCAAAACATTATTCTTTAAACAATATTATTTTTATCAATAAAATTAATAAGTGATACACTGTAAAATATGATTTTAATTACTTTAATCTTAACAGAGGGTTTATTGAAAGACAAATAGAGAAGGTCTAAATGATTTCAGTGTATTATATCTCACCATAAGATAGCCATATAATATGACTTTCTCTAAGTACTCAGCCAATGTAAAGTCATTAAGATCTGGTTTTAGTCTTTCCTTTTCAAGGTATTTGAGGTGACTCTGATATTTAGTTTGTTCTATTGATTCAACCATCACTTGATTCTTTCGATAAAAGGGAATGCAATTGCATATGCGACACTGAGGTCTCATTTGCCATAACTTCAAGATGGCCCTAATAAAAGTATTGAAAAATTAAACAATTTCAAAATTAACTGAAAAGATTTTTGTACTACTAATTAAAAACATGAACATGAGTAAAGTTAAAAATTCATGCGCAATGTTTAAAGCTTGTTAATTTGAATTACATTATTGTACTATAGAAGAAATTTCTCGCTTTTTAAAAAATAATTGTAATAAAAGTATTTCACAAAATTTCTTTTCTAATTATGGTAAAGTTGTTTTCTCACGGCAAAGCAAGATCCTTGAGGAACTTTGGTAGTGGTTTTATGATCATGAGTGTCATTACTTGAAAAGATAATTGTGTCATGCAAGACCCTTCACAGTCGTCTACATAGCGAGCTTCAAAGAGACTTCCTTTCTGAAATTGGATAGATTCAATAATGCAAATTATTATTTTGTTAATTCAAAACAAGCCCATTTTGGAAATAATAATTTTATTGACTTTTAAACAAAACTCTGTCAAAAAATTTGATAATGTTCATATTTACATAAAAATAGTTTATTAGGTGAGATCTAAAAATAAGACATTAGAAATTGGGCAATAAATATTTTATTTTGATTCCAGAACTTGAAATTAACTTTCTGTAAATAAATACTGGTTCAATTTCGTATAATAAGTAGGCCTACATTACAAATTATATCAATGTTATTTGACTCTTATTATTATAATTGTTAGAATAAAAAACCCACCCTAATAAAAGTAACTGTAGGAATATAATTTTTCAAGCCGTTTATAGTTTTTACAAGTTTTTCCTTTAAGTAGTTACATACACACAAACAACAACCTACCCCTCGTGCAAAGGCAATGTAAAAGCAAGATGCATTGCAGTTCACAAATTTGAAAGCAAACATCTTGATAATAAGAGAATCATCATAACTGGTCTGAGTTCTATGATTTTCTGAAATTGATAAAATAAAGTGTTCATCAAAACGATTCCTATTGCTCTTAGACCATATTTGATAAAATTAAAAAAAAACAACTAATTTTATAGAGGAAGTTTTCAGATATTACTAGGGCATGGACAAGAATGGAATAAGAGGCTGAACCTTTTGGTTAAATTATGTGGGGGTTTTTCTGCTACATTAAATGCTTACCCCAATTTGTGAGAACCACAGCCAACTTGTTATAAACCTGAAGAAATAACAATACATGTCAATTAAAACTAGGTTGGAATCATATGCAATTGAAGTCACACCTCCAGAAATTTCCAAAACCATTACTGCACTCAACATGAGTCAGAGTTGTATGAGCAGATTTTTTTTTAACAATCGATAACACTCACCAATTCGAGTATCATCATCGAAAGTGCATTTAGAATAGATGAAACAACAGTTGTAAGAAGAAAACATTGGTTGTTAGGTAGATTAGGGCAGTAGTCCACATTCATAATGACTCGGTAGACAATGACAGCAAAAACACTTATTATCACCATAGCAACCTGTAATTTAAATATATATTTTTTTTTACACAAATCATTTGCAACTAGTTTGATTATTTATCATTGCGATGATAAGATTGGTTTTCACACACAAGCGGCCAAAGCAGCGAAGGAATAAGAAGATCTCTGAACTTTTTGTTACTAAATTATTTTCATTAAAAGTTTATTTTGCAAAAGAGATTTTAAAAAAATTGAATAAATTGAAATGTTTAAAGGTATAGTTATATTAAGTAGGTATTTTTCAATAAATAAATAAAGCTTTAATCATCCATTCTATAAATGCTACTAAGAGTATAAGTTTTATAATTCTGCTCAGAGTAATTACCTACTATAACAAGTAAGTGAGAAAGAATAAAAACAACATAAAGAAAAATATTTTTTTAATGAATTATTTATATTGCGGCCCGCAAGATGATATTTTGCAGTCCGCTACATGACAGCAAATTTTACTGTTAATGCGGCCCGGGCATTCTCCCCATTCTCATATCTATAATGTGACCCTCCGCGAGGTTTCAGTCGAATCTCACCAAAAAGTCTAATTCTAATTTTATTATGTTTGTATAGATTTGGACGTTGGTTATAATAGTAAAACTGTTTTAAATCGGACTAAAAGTTTTTATTTTATATTATTTTATGACACAAACATGGCGGCCAAAGTGCGGTTTTGAGAAAAGTCAGGAAGTGGGTAATGCACAACCATAATTGTGTAGATCGTAGCAATCTGACACAGTATCAAAGAATCCCAAATAAAATAGCCATTAGTGTTTACGAGTAAGGGAAATTCCGAGCCTGTCTGCTAGGTCACATTCAAAATAGGGTTAGTTAAAAATGCCTTTTCTACAATGAAAAATAAAAATTCATTCTCCCTACAATAGCATCTTCCTTCGCATCAATAGTTCATAAATATGGCCTGCTCCTGTCTACTGTTGAACATGTTTTAGCCTTCAAAGCCTTCTTGGAGAAGGATGGGGTGGTTGTTCCTGTACTAAGTAATCCCAAACGGTGCATGGATTTGGCTTTTCTTGTTGACATTACACAGGCGCTAAATGTACTTAACAAAAAGTTATAAGACCAGGGGTAGTTTGTCAGAGTTGCCTATGACAATGTCAGGGCATCCTGCACAAAACTTGTGTTATGGTTCTTAGAGATACCTCTGCCGTTTCCCAACATACTAAGTACTCATGGTCTCGGCACACCATTCAGTAGTAAGTATACTGAAGCGATTGCTAAGCTACAGGAAGAATTTGATCACATGTTTTCAGACTTCAAATCATACAGAGCCACTTTTCAACCTTTTGCTGAACTTTCTCCTTCAATATGGAATTTGCTCCCCCCACCCCAGCACTTCGAATGAAGGTGATTAATCTTCAGTGGAATTATAATTCAGGGAGATGAATTAAATAACAAGACAATTTATGAGAGCATTGCCTTCAACCTGCTGAGATTTTCAGGTTGTTCAAGCGGATCATGTGCCTTTTTTTGGGAGTACCTATCTGTGTGAAAAGCTCATTTCCAATATGAACCTTAACAAGTAAATGTTCATGGCCAATCTTACTAATGAGCAATTTCAAGCTATTCTAATGGTCTCAGTTGCTTCCTCGATCAAGCCAAATATTACCGGTGCTCAGTTGTGTAAGAAGAAGCGCTGCAAGGTCTCTAGCAACAAGTTTTAGGAGGAAGAAAGTGAAGCCTAGTTCTTGCGAACCCTTAATGATTTTATTTGTTATTAATAAAGATTGAGCAGATTGTAACATTTGTACTTTATTAAATTTGTATTCGCTTTTTTGGGAATAATTGATGCGGCCCAGTCTAACTCAGACTCTACCTCCTGCGGCCCCCAGATCATTTGAGTTTGAGACCCCTGATTTAAAGGAATCAAAGTGGATGAAGAAATTATTATTTTGCTCTTGCTATGTTTTTCATCGCTAATAATTTGAATCCTAGGCTCAGCCCAAAAATGTCTCTGTTTTATGCAAAACAATTTCAGCAGACAAGACTTGTCTTAAATAAATTTGTATACAATGTAGCATAATTAAATAAATGTACATATATATATATATATATATATATATATATATATATATATATATATATATATATATATATTATATAATTTGCAATAAATATATATATATATATATATATATATATATATATATATATATATATATATATATATACATTATATAATTTGCAATACGTAGCCTAATAATTAGGAGAAATATACTAAATGAAAAAGCAAAAAAAAAATATCGGGACCATAACATTCCAAAAAGCACCATGGACCCAAGACTTAGGAACATTTATTGCTTACTTTTACAGCATGTACTATTATTTTTTATTTAATAATCTATAGGAAACATTTGAATCATAAATTAAAAAAATGTAGGAAATCCAGCTTTACACTTCTCAACACTCATCATTCTCAGAGAATAGTTAATGTTTAAAAGGTAAAATCTCTGTATCAGGAACACGAAAGGTGAAATCAGTCTTACCATAAATATTAGAACAGAGGCAGATGCCAAAAATTTTATGACTTGCTTTGAAGCTGGGTAGATCCAAGTATCGTCTAATGTTATTGGATCCTGGAAAGTAAAATTATATTAATAAGTGAAGGAATAAAAAAGAAAAGGACATAAAATGGATAGATTTAGTAGTAGTTATTCACGTGGCACTGGAGAGTTTGCACAGTACTCTTCAGAGCTGGGAACTGGTGGGGCTCGATACGGTCATTTTCTCCAATTCAAGATCTTCTCTTGAGATTTAAATAAGGGTGCGCCCACTAGGTTGACGTCATCATGAATTACATGGGTAAGATTGAGAAAATCTGAAGGAAGGTAATAGTACAGTGGGTTTCAAGCAAAATAAATGTGACGATAAATAGAACAAGTGAACACACTGGCAAAATATCAAGGCTGCACAGTCCCAGCTAGAAACACCAGTCCCTTCCCTCTGTGTCAAAAACTTGCTGGCGGACTATTTTAGGACAAAGTTTACGGATAAACAACATGAAGGCCAAATGTGTAAAATGTGTAGGCTTAATGCCAACATGCCACATCCTAGCACAACTGACCCCTAGTGGAAACTGGGTCACCAACACCAGGGTCTCTGATTCCTAATGCGAAAGGAGCACTTTCCTCCTAACTCTTACATCAGCAGGCTAAACAACAACAGGAGCCTGACCTAGCATAATACACCATAGGGTTCTTGAGAAATAAATTATTGAACTTATACAAAAAGCATATATCAAAGTCTAAGTATTCTAAGTGGTGGGAGAGAAGCCATACATGCAATGTAGTTGTAACCTAGCCCATTTGTCAATTTCCATGACAGTTTTGGGTAGTGAACGCTTTGTTTTGTAAAAGAGTGGCAGACAACGCCACATATAATTTTCTGGTTATTCCTTACACAGTACATTTATTGCAGCATATGAGATTCCTTAATAATTAAATGGATCCAATTAAGCTTGTTTTATTAGTAAACATAGCAAGCAATTATAAGTGTATATACTTCATGCACAACATTAGAGCAGGCATTAAAAAAAAAACTGTCTTTAAATTAAATAGCTGAGTTATGTCTAGATCTTACCTTTATATTTTATTTGTTAAATTTACAATAAAATTTTAATACTAAAATCCACTATCTTATCATAATTGAGATTAGATAAATAGTTCCAAAAATGGCCAGTCTGCCCAAAACAATCATCATAGTCTAAGATACACAGTAAGACGCAGATAGAAGTTATTGAGGATATTTGTATAATAAAATGATATATAGATCTATGGTAAAAAAATAATTTGAAAATAATCTTTTATAAATGTATGTAATTAAATATCTAGTTCTTCTCATTGACAGGCACCTTCATAATCTTTGTACCATAAAACTGTGGTCTATCTGGCTCATACGTTTCGAATTGGTCTACATCCCATTCATATGCTAATGTAGAGTTTTGACGCTTCCAGACTTCCAGAAAAATAGTTCCTGAAAAGATATTAACAGCCTTTAATGGGCAGATATACATTTAATTTAAAAAAAAAATATTGATAAAACAAAATTTGTTACAAATAAATAATAATTTGATCCTTGCTAGACATTGATTACATTAATTAACAATAAAATTAAACCAAATAGTAATAATAAAATTAACATGATCAGCATTTGTATACTCAAAGTGGAAACCAGTAAAAAATTTAATATAATAACTGACTGTTTATTTTTTTTTTTCTCCTTCAAATGAGTTCACGAAGTTAAACTTAATTTGATTTTTTTGGGGCCTTTATATTAGTCAACCTTGTGCTTTTTAGGTTAATAAAAAATTCAATAACTGAATGGTGTTAGCAAATGAATGATAATTCAATAAAGTTATCTGTGAAATGCTCAGCTCTAATAAAAAAAACCATGATGCATAATAATCAATATTCCTAGAAAACTAATTAAATTTAAATAGTTTCTTATGTGCAGCTATGAGAGAATTTAGAGGTCAATAGGGCTAAATAGTAAATGTCCCCAAAGGCTAGTTAAAATAAATTTTGCCCCTACTTACCCCAAATACAAATGAATAAGGCAAAGAATGGCGTGAGGTCATTGTCAAATGCCAATTTGATATCACCTAAAACATCCAGCAAGTTTTCACTTAACCTGCACAATTTGAAGAAAAGTTAAATGGGACATCACCAATACCATATTTAATTATCTATAAGCTATTTTCAACAATAGTTCAAACAAAAGTTGAGAATAGTTATCACTGCACTTAGGTTTCGTTAAAAAAAATATTTGCGATGCTGATTACTTACAAAACCTATAAAATCAAATCTTCGATTGCTCCAAATTCACTTTCAAATAATTTAAACTAGATACTTGAATACTTGAACTTACTTTGTTGAATTTTGTGCTTTCAAGTTGTCAGACACGCTAAATAAAATATAAAGAAATGTATGATAATCTAAAATTAGAAATATAATGGACAAGAGTAATTTGAACTTTCTCACCTTTATTAAATTTTTTTCATAATATTGCTATACATATCTTATGTATAAAGAAATATTACCACCAGATCTTTCTGCTGTATAGCTCCCTCACTATAACTATTAATTTTGAACTCACAATATTATTAACACTATATTTTATTTTAGTTGAAATGAATAGATATTCAGCAAATAATATTCTACAGATGGTTTTCCATACCTGGAGTGCTGTCATTTCAGGGGGTGTAAGGAAAAGACATTTAAAATACTGAGGAGACATTACCTTGTGTTAATTAAGCTATCATATAAATGTTTATATACATTGCTTCATTAACATTTTCCTTAATGTAATTAATCACATGTTTATATTCCACACATCTCTTTGCTATTCTGTAATAAATTTTAAGTCCTTTAATTTCAAATTTTAAAATATATTGTTACTTTTGTTGGGGGTGCGAAACTTAGTAAACTATTTGTAAGAGGTGTAAGATTTGTCAAATGATTTGTATGGGGTGAGGAGTATAGAAAAGTTTGCCAAACATTTCTCAATGGGGAGGATTGAAAATTTTAGTTTGTGCAAACAATTCTTTTATAAAAAGGTTAGTAGGCCTACAACACATCTCTATTTTATCTAAAAACGAATCCATGCTTACCTTCCAACCAAGCCATAAATGAAAACAGCAATTCCAAACAACATGGGGATCCATAATGTTGTTATGAGCATGCCTGTCCAGGCGAAATAAAATGCAATTTTCTCTCCAAAATAATTCCTTATATGCCACATTGGTTGAAATTTGGCAAAATCTGTCCACCTCTCTTGCAAAAGCTTACGAGGGTCTTCATTTGGCGCAGGCCATATATTTGCATTGGAAGCATCCATGCTGATATCACCATCCTTTTCATTGGTTATATAGTTGTATGAAGGGTCTATGTCTTTGGATAAGGCAGATTCTTCATGAAGAACAAATGAGTCTGTGTAACTTTTTTTCATCAGCAAGTACTGCAATCCTAAACAACATAAAACATAAGAAAAACAATAATAACAGTTTTTACAACTAATGATTTCACCACTGAAAATAAGCATGTGTTAATAGTGAGAGGTCTTAAACCAGAATTCAAGAGGCACTGACTAGGGGTGTCGAATATCATTTATGCTGGACAGAGGCTTCAAAATAAAGTTCTCAAATTCTACAAACCTTTTCTTTTGAGAGAGACACTGTTTAAAACATCTTTCCCATTAGTCTTTTCTTTGCAACAACAAAAAAGACCTTTGCAGAACTCAGCACATTTGCCAGTATTGGGATTTCCTACTTCACTCTCTTCATCTTCTGCCACCTCTGCAGCAGTTCTTGTGTCAGTGTTAATGAGAATATGATGAACCTAATTTTTTAAATATAAATGAATGTTAAGTTTAGAATATTTCATTATTATGACAATAATTATGTGTGTTATCAGCTGAATGTGACACAGTAATATATCTCAACTATCAACAACCTGTAATGATAGTTCCCATGTTGACATCAAGCATAACATTTTTTTTTATCATGATCATTATGCTACTGGTTTTAAAGCTGAGGCTTAAATAAGTAACATTATGTCTTGTAAGGTTTTCCAAATTTTATCTTCAGTCTCTAACTTAACTTATTTTCTTTTTTATAAAGATCCAATAAGATCCTGAATAACTTGACTTGATTTGTATGTACATTAGTTTCTTGGTGTTACATTCTTTAGATGAGTGTTAGACCTTCTTATAGTAAAATTGTGGAAGCCAAGTTAATTATTTCACATACAAACTTTTATTGATAATTAGGATCTTTGACTAAAAAAAAAATTGAATAGATTAGTAAAACACAAACAACTTATGTAAGTAAGTAAGTAAAACAGTATAATTAAGCTTTCAAGTTTTTTAATTAATATTTATCATATCTATATGTTTTTAAATAGATAATTTCTTTTCAGCATTTCCCCACTTTTTTTTTCTTGTCCCTTTTTTCCTTTGATAGGTTTTATAATATGATGTGTAAAATATAATTTTTCTTCATGAAATATTTAGGTTGTCATACTTATTAATGTTTTAGCTGAAATGTCTTAAATTTGTAATTTGATTTTTAATTTAAACTTAAATATAATGTTTCACTTACATGCATTGTTTTGAGATATAAAAATAAATAATAATCAGTTCATATGGCAAGGTTTGATAAGAGAGACTTTACCAATTATCATGACACTGTACACTAAATCTAAAATGCTTGAGTAGAGTTTCACTGTTGTAGCCAAAATATAAAAATGAAAAGAAACAGCATTGGAATCCATCAAATTTCTTTTTTTTTTACTGTAACACTAGTAGTCATCTAGATGTTGGATAATTTTTACAATAAAACCTTTAAAGTAAATGCACCCATTTTAAAAAAAATATAGGTTCTTATAAAGTTTGATTTTGTAATGGCAAGCCTATAAAAGTTTCCTAGGTTTTAACACAAATTAGAATTATTAGATGTCTATCATTTTGGCAAATTCTCACACCCTCTGACCGATAAACAATGCTTGATGCTGCTGGGTGCCTGTCCATGGCTAGACAGGGGTCAATAGTACTTGGATTGGCAAGGTCAATATTATTACATAGCTGTTTCAAATGAATAATTTTATGTAACTGGTTTTTAATTTCATGTTTCTTTTGTTTTTTTCTTTTTGCTTATTATTATGTAAGAGCAGTGAGCATAGCCCTAGGCTGGGGTACCCCGCTATATAAGACAACTTTGATATTGATATAGTAATAATAATTACAACAGTTTGGTAAACAGATTATCATAAAACTTAATTAAAGGCTATTACACTTACAAGCAGGGATCGAATCGACGGTCTAAAAAACTTTTCAGGGTTTTCATGTCCGTCGTACAGTTCAATTTTGTTCACATAAAAAGGAGCACTAACAAAATCTGACACTGAAATATTAGAAATAAAATAATTATATTTATATTATAAAGATTGTGCCATAGGTTATTTTTTTAATAAATAACTGTTTAAATTTAGGAAAATGAAACATTGAAATGTTATTGTTTGCAGCATACTAGCCTCTCCTATATTTTGAATACTATGAAAATAAAAAATTTGTTGCTGAATTTTTTAAAATTGATATTTTACAAAAATAGTAATGCATGTCCAGTATGTGTCAAATATTAATATTTTCATTTATTTTTTGCAATGAAGAAATGTATGTAATGTTATAGTTGATGCCTTAATAGAAATAAAGATATACAAATTGGTCCGTTTTATTTTCCAACCTCTTCAACTATTGTTACTATTAGTATTACCATTATTTCATCTCAATATGCAAAATTATTTTAAATTTGCTAAAATTTCAGCAGCATATAATAAAATGTTAGCATCATCTAAATATATAGATGATTTTTTTTTTTTTTTTAAAGTTATAACATGAACTAAACTGTATGTTGGTTAAATGAAAAAACGCTCAGCTTCTGAGTCATTTAAATATATGTTGTAATTGGTATTTGATAAATTTTCCTTGCTCAAACTTTGTGCATTCTTTTTTTAATTCTTTTTTTTATTTTTATTATTAACTTTGATGTCACATGATTACTAAGTAAAAAAAAAAGGCAATAAACATTAACAAATAAGTTTATTGTCTTGATAAGCACAGATAGCTGTATTAATCATGTGGCAAAAATTATGTGTACTTGGGATACAAAATGTTAATATTAAAATGAGGCTTTGTTTAAATTAACACATTTTCTGGAGCCCCTTAGCCTTGTCATGTAAAATCTTAATTTGATTTCTTTGTTGCACAAAAAAGTTATTTAAATTTAGTGACATTGCTGAAAATTAACACTACCTTCATTATCTGTGTCAAAATGCTTGACAACAAACTCTCTCAGCCAGCCTTCAGGGGGGTTTTGTGGTATTGCACACTGAAAATAATTTGATTTAAACCTATACATTTTTAGAGAATAAAAAAAAATGTTCCAATTGACCTTAGACACATATTTTTAAAAAAATGGGCCTATCGCTGTCCATAATGTATGTGTAACATTTTTTAACTAAAAAAAAATTAAAAAATTAACACCTATTTACAATTTAATCTACGACATACTTCACTATCAAACTATTCAATTTAGGCAATTTTAACTCCAAAGCACTTTCATGTTATTAAAATGACTACATCAATCACAAAAGAAAGCCCAACATCAATGTTAATTTCAGGTTTTTCATGTTTAAAAAATGTTTGATGTCACATATGATCTTTAGACCCCAACGCTGTCACAAAATTTCACACTTACTGAGGCCCCCTCTTCCCCCTCCAGAGTATGACAAACTTTATGAATGCCCCTCCCGCCCCTACTGAAAGTCTAGTTTTACACCAAGAATAAGGGTCTCCCATAAAAGAAATGCCATTTACATCTTTTAAGGCCATTTCTAGTTTCACTTTCTCTGCCTCATAGCAGAGTCTCTTGAAAGGGCAATGGAGTTTGACAAATACTTCCTTTCCAATTTCATCTTTCTGTATACAGAATCCCTCATTTTTAAGAAGAGTTTCAAACCTATTTTTAGGAAATTAAAAATTTTTTTTTTTATTTGTTACTTTAAATATCACAATGCCATCAATCTAAAAAAAGTTTCATGAAGTGCTTTGATTTAAAGCTAATTTATGTGGTTTAAGAATAATTTCTTTCAAATAAATATCTGTTTAAACATCAATCATTTTTAATTTTGCGTTTTAATTTTTTTAGCACAAAATTGAATAAAAATATCTTATTTATATAAAGAGATGATATTTTAACAATTTATTTGAGTCAAATTTTTAAAACCTTTCTCTATTTTTTTCATGTTGAGTTTTAGGTTCAGTTTCTTCAGACCTGGGGTAAACAAGTACAAAGTCGATACGCTTACGTTCTGGAACAAGTTTCTTCTGCTGAGATAAAATTGAGTATCTGAAAAGTTAAAAAATCAAAATAACCATCTAAAAATGATTTAATAATATTTAAGAAAAAATATTTCTATTTAAAAATCATTAGATATAATCATATCGCGGGTAATCCTTTATATTTACCTTTTCTCAAATCCACCTAATTTTGGTGGATGTTTTGCTCTATGTTTTTTTAGCGTTCTTGACCATTTCTTTCCATGTTTTAAGGCATTATTTGCATCATCTATACTTTTTTTATAACCTTGTTTTAAATTATTTGAACTTGAGTGATGCACAGCATTACCAGTGTCCCGTTCATCAAAGTCCATGACTTTCTCTGCCTCTGTATGTTCCATTGAGCTGTTAATTATAACTTCTCAACCTATTTTAATATGGGAACAAAATTAACAAGCTGATTTCAATATAATAATTAAAGACAAAAGAAAAAATGCTGGGTTAATCTTAAAGATACCAACTTTGTTTAAATAACTTACATTTATATTTATTCAAAGGCATTATTGGGATTTTACCTTACATATAATTTTACAGAAAACACATATATTTTTGGATTTTAATAAATTCATGAATCACAGATGTAAAAAAAATATCAATGAATAAAAGGAGTGATTTGATAGTGCATCAAATTTTGTTTCTTCAATTTATTTGCTTGTCTTCTTTTTATAATTTCTAAGAAAAGGTTGTGTGCCATGACCTTAACTCTAAAAAGGTAGTTTCACTTATTCTATGATTCTAAGTAAATGTATATATATCAAGTTTATTTCAGTTATACAAATGTCCTACATAATTTTCTGTTAAATATAATTATTACTTTTGAATTAAATTGATTTTTTTTTAAATTATTGTTTTCAGGATCATTATACCCATCAAGCCAATTTCATTTTGTCCACTTTAAATCAACCCTTGAACAAAGTCTACTATATTTTATTTTATATATTAGTTAGGCCTTCACCTAAATCTAAGTCTTTACCCACTATTAAATACAGAATTTTGATATCTGAGAAAAAAGGTTAAAATTAGTTATACATTTTTATTAACCACACTTTCAGCTTTACCTAAGTGACCTTAGTGATAACACTAATTAAGGCTAATATAATAAGCTGTTAAATTGATAGTAATTATAGGATCTGAAATAGGGGTTTTAACTATTTTTCCATGCAGCTCACCCTCTTGTTTTCAGAACAGTGTCCTACACCCCTGAACTAAGTGCAAAGGCCAGAAGTTTTTAGCAAAACTAAAACTAAAGCTATTAATAATACCAACCAGCCAAGGCATGCCCACACTCATAATTAAATTGAATGTTACCTTTCAAAAAGACAAATTATCTTTTTCACTTACAGTTAGAGAGAGAACTTAACACCAAAGTTCAAAGCCACTATGAGTGAGAGTGGCTAGTCCATTAAAATTTTAAATTTGTTTCTGAATGGTTTACAGTAGTTTACTAGTGACAAGTGAGCACTGTGACACTGTGAAATTATTGACTATTTCTGTAGCCAACTTGTAATAGGCTATATAACGTATAATTATATACTTGGCCTTAACACTTGGTACTTCTTAGCTTTTTCTAGTCCAGTACCAGTACCAGAATCTAGATGACTTAGCCTAGCCTTTCTTTGCTTACTTAATAATAATAATCGGTATAGGTCAAGCCTTTTTTTTGGCCTACCAGTCTGGCTGCATTGTATTATTACGTCCACTTTAGTATTTTTAAATTAAAAAAGCATCATAGCAAGTTTTGTAAGGCCAGATTAACAAAAGGAAAATTGCTCTAAATCACACAAGTTTTCGGTAGTATATTTTATTTTAAGCGCTCGACATTTGTACATAATGATTGCTCATCCATAATATTGATGTTATCATAGTTGCTATGTAAAAAAGGGAGAGCACTGCAATTTCCAGTCTGTAATAAAGATTCGCAATAAATGTCAGACACAATAAGCAACTATTTTAATAGAAAATAAATATAATTCATTTTAAAAAAAAAAAAGCTAATTTCCTTCTGGCCCAGAGAAAAGACTATATTTTTTTAAAAAATATCTGACTTTAAGTACATTTATGTCTGGCCAGTGTAATGACATTAAGATCCAATTAAATGACCCATCGCCAGATACGTTTAACTTAAAAAACGGGTGCTAAATCCCCCACCCACCCACCCCATTTATGTGTTCATGCTAACATAAATCTCAAGTCTCAAGTCCAATTTGATTTTGCGTGTGTACGCAAATGATGGATTCAAAATTTCTATGATTTAAGTTATTTTACATTTGTTCTTGTTCCTTTTAATTTACTGAAGAATACTCGCTGACGAGTTCAATATATATATATATATATATATATATATATATATATATATATATATATATATATATATATATATATATATATATATAACTATCAAGCATTCACATTCCTGTTTCCTATTTCAAAAAAAAAAAATATTTCTACCCGTTTACATTATTTACAACTTTATCTTTCATGCCTTCAATCAACAGGGAAAACATTACTGTCTTTGCAGTCATAAGCCCATCCCAAAATGTTAAAATAATAATTTAATAATCCAGGCCATTAGACTAGTTAGAACAACTCGGTAAGGAAGTTTACAACTGAACAAAATGCAATAGTGTTTTATGTAATTGAACTTTTAATTAATATCTAAACAAACTTTTTAATTTATTTAATTCAGTGAAAATTTATTCAAATTTTCCATTAATACAGCATCTACTTTAAAGTAGGATTGGTAAGTAAAAGTAACTTACTTCTTCATCGCTCACAAATAGTTACTGTAAACCCTTTCCCTATATCTGGTTTCAGGTTTTATGTCTCTGGTTTCATGTTTTGTATTTCTGGTGTCAAGTTATATATGTCTTGCTTAAGCATGGGCGCCCGCAGAAAACTTTCTAGGGGGGGGGGCGGCAAAAAAAATCGATTAACTTTCTAGGGGGGGGGCAAACATTTTTTAGTAATGTTTTTATGTAGTTTTAATTTACTGTAGCGTATTTGTATGGTGAACGAACGGACAGCACATCAGCTTAGTTACTTTCTCTTTATTTTCTCTTTACTTTAATAAATTGTTTGTCTATATTTGTCTAAATTTTTTTTATCCAATCAATCCAGGGGGGGGGGCGCAAGTGCCCCCCCCCTGAGGGTGCCCATGGGCTTAATGTAACTTAACACGAGCCTTAACTCTTTCAAGCATTTGAATCATATTATTTCTTTACAATATGGAGCTTGAGCTTCTTGACCACTCTGCACTGCATCATAATGACAGGATATTTTCTTATGAAGTCGAAACTGTAAGTGCTATTTCATAAGCTGGCTTCAGCTTTGAATTAGCAATTCATCAAAAAGCCACAATGCATCTGCAAATTAACATGGATTTATCACCCAATCTAAAAAAAAAATCCTAAATCGCTCAGACAAAATTTTATGTACCATACTTTTGAATTAGCCATTCATCAAAATAACCACAATGCATCTGCAAGTTAACATGGATTTATGACCTCATCTAAAATTTCAATTAAAACAAAATCCTAAATCGCTCAGAGAAAATTGTATGCACCGTATTCAAATGGTTAAACTTTATTTCAGCAATAGCGTCACTAGAGTGTGCTGACAGCACCGGATGACACTCTGTCGGGGGGGGGGGACACCGGATGGAAAATTTAAAATTTGACAATCCTCGCTCGAGAACATTTCAAAACATGAAAAAATTTCAATTAAAACAAAATCCTAAACCGCTCAGAGAAAATTGTATGCACCGTATTCAAATGGTTAAACTTTTTTTCAGCAATAGGGTCACTAGAGTGTGGTGGACGCCCCGGATGACACTCTGTCGGGGGGGGGGGGGACACCGGATGGAAAATTTAAAATTTGACAATCCTCGCTCGAGAACATTTCAAAACATGAACATGGTGGTAACAGAAAGAGCAGCATCACCTGAGCAGGGTATTACCAGAGCAGGGTATCACCAGAGCAGGTTGCCGAAAGAACAGGATGCCATCATAGTTGACTGCCGAGAGATTAGGTTGCATGAGATTAGGTTTAAAAAACAGAACATGTTGCTACCAGAGCAAGCAGACTCAATAAGGTCCATGGGGGGAAGCATTGAAGAGGAAAAGGTTGGAACCATGGGGTTTTATCACTGGGTAACACGAACCCTAGTGACGCCACTTTTTTATCATCCTGGAAACCCCCATGCCAGACTTTTCTCTTTGAGGTACTACGGGCTTGGACATCACAATGAGCACAGTTGATTTAGATATGAAAGTAGAATTTATTCTCTAGACAGAAAAGTAGAATTTATTCCTTAGACATGAAAGTAGAATTTATTAACTAGACTTGAAAGTAGAATTTATTAATTCAATGTAAAAGTATAATTTATTCACTAGACATGAAAGTATAATTTGTTCACTAAATATAAAATTAAAGTTTATTCCCTTGACATAAAAGTAGAATTTATTCACTGGACATGAAAGCAACATTTATTCACTATATATAAAAGTAGAATGTATTCACTAGACATGAAAGTAGAATTTATTCACTAGACATGAAAGTAGAATTTATTCACTAGACGTGAAAGTAGAATTCATTCACTAGACATAAAAGTAGAATTTATTCATTAGACATGAAATTAGAATTTATTCACTTGACTTGAAAGTATAATTTATTCACTAGACACGAAAGAAGAGTTCATTCAATTGATATACACATAGAATTTATTCACTAGACATGAAAGTAGAATTTATTCACTAGACGTGAAAGTAGAATTCATTCACTAGACGTGAAAGTAGAATTTATTCACTAGACATGAAAGTAGAATTTATTCACTAGACATGAAAGTAGAATTTATTCACTTGACGTGAAAGTAGAATTCATTCACTAGACATTAAAGTAGAATTTATTCACTAGACGTGAAATTAGAATTTATTCACTAGATATAAAAGTAGAATTTATTCACTAGCCGTGAAAGCATAATTTTTCCACCAGACATGAGTGGAGAATTTATTCACTAGACATACAATTAGAATGTATTCACTAGATATGAAAGTTTATTCACTTTGTTTTATTAACATTATTTTCAGCTGCCAGCAAATCTAAAACTAACTTCATTGAAATCTGAAAATATTTCTGGGAATAGCCAAGTCATGACTGATGACTTTGGGTTAAGCTGTCAGCACTGGGAGGAAAATTGATCTTTTAACAAAAAATTCCAGTGCAGTGTCAGATACTGTCTAAAAGTGACAAACGCACTCGCAATGTGAAAGTCGATAAACTTGAAGTTTTTATGTCCTCCAGATGTTGGCGATGGATGAAACAATAAAAAGTAAAGATATCAAACGTACTTTCAAATAACAAGAGCGGAAAAAAAAAACAAACTATGTTACAATGCCTCAATGTCACAATGCCTCAATGTCACAATGCCTCAATGTCACAATGCCTCAATGTCACAGTGCCTCAATGCCCCATTTCCGACTAGCCACAATGCCAACAAAGATTAATTTGAGGTCATTGGGATGAATTTATCAATCTGGTTGAAACTTGTTTAAAATTATATTTCAAAATTTAATAAACGTTTGATATCATAATTAACAGGGGTCAGGGCCGTTGCTAAGGTAAGTTCAAAGTAGGGCGGTTGAAGATTTGGACCGTCCAGTCCAGGGAAAATACTTTGAGATGGACAAAAAAATTCCTCCCTTTTCATAAAAAAAGAAAATGAGCCGACCTCGGCGGACCATCCTTCCACACCCCCAGTTCCTACAGTACTGAGCTGAGGCCTTTGTCCATCTATCCCTGTGGCGCTACAGCCCACGTAGGGCTTTGGCATGCCTCCCCACTTCCTTCCACACAGACACCACTGATACTTTTCTTTTCCATGCTTGGATTCCCAGCTGCTGTGGGCCCCTCTCCACATGACCCATCCATCTTAGGCCTGCCTATGAGCAGTTTCCTTCTGGGGTTTTGGTGGTTCATCCTCTTCATTCCTCGGTCATTTTGGCATTCTTTCTAAGCTTCCAGCCAGCGTAGCCTGCTCGTGTTTTTTTTTATTTCTGCTACTAGCTGATATAGATTGTACAATTTCTGGTTGGTTCCTAGTCTCCATCCATGTTCATCTTTTGACTGTCCATATATTTTCCGGATAACGTTTTCTCTCCCATTTGTTTGATAGGTTTTCTGCCGTTTTTTTGTTTGTGTCCAAGTTTCTCTTGCACATGTTACAACTGGTCTGATGACAGTTTATATAAAGTTTTCTGCCGTGTTTGTTTGTGTCCAAGTTTCTCTTGCACATGTTACAACTGGTCTGATTACAGTTTTATATACAGTTTTCTTTGTTTTTTGTGTGTCATTTTTTTACTTTCAAATATTTTCTGACTACTGAAGTATGCGCTGTTCCCGGCCATTATTCTTTCTTTTATTTCTGATAGTAATTCATTTCTTTCATCTAATAAAGATCATAGATATTTGAATTGATTTACTTTTTCAAAAGTCTGGTTTCGAATTTTTTTTATGGGTTCATCTGTCTGTTCTTCTCTTATCATAGTCATGTATTTTTTTTTTTTTTTTTAAAAAAAAAAAAAAAAAAAAAAAAAAAAAAAAAAAAAAAAAAATTTTTTTTTTTTTTTTTTTTTTTTTTTTTTTTTTTTTTTTTTTTTTTTTTTTTTTTTTTTTTTTTTTTTGGTTGTTAACTTCCAACTCTGCTTGTGGAGATGCGTCTTCTAATTCAATAAATAATTTTGATATGTATTTAATACTTTTCCCTAACAGTGCTATCTCATCAGCAATTGCAAGACACTGAAGTGGTTGGTTGTAGAGAGTGCCTGTTGGTTGTGGGTCTTGGGTCTCCTTCAGAAGGTATCCTGTGATTGTTC